CCCGGTACTCAGGGCCCGGCATCCACACACAAACGTTCGTGTTCACACACCAACACACCCTGTCACAAGTTCGGGCACACAGCCGCCTTGTCTCACATACTTGGTTACACCTACACTATAGCGCCAACGGCCTAGACAGGCTGTGATCTTGTGGGGAATCACTCTGCAGGGTGCCGGGGTGACTGTGGAGGGCTTGGACCGGAATAGAAGCTTCTCCCCCTGCCTTTCCCAGGTGCCATCCCCAACTGCATGCACGCTGCAGTCTGCACAATGCCCGAACACGGTGGTGGACTCACTTTTGCCCTCACATACGCAGAGGTCTCTGAGCTGATTCCACACCAGCAGCAGGGTACACACACCACGTGCAGGCACAAAGCCACGCAGCTTTTAGCTCTTTTGATGTTCTATCATGGAAATTTTCAAACATATGCACAAGAAGAATGAGTAGTATAATGAAACTCCTCGTGCATTTCAACAGTGATCAGCATTTTGCCCATCTTCACATACAGCCTCCACCCATGTGTGCATGACTCCCCAGTCTGTATCTCCAGAACCCTTCAGCCAACTGCTCCAGGCCCACCCTACCCCCACTTATCCTCCAGATGCTGAGATGCTGTTCCTTAGCAGCCTGGACCCATCCCTCTTAGGCACCCTCACACATTCCCCAGTTGCTTCCAGTGCCCAAGGGAATCACCTATTAAAAACACGAGGGTCACCCGGAGGTGATGCCAACGTGTGTGACTGAACAACACGCCTCTGTAGGAGTGACACCTGGCATGGGTGCACTTAGCACCGGGGAGCTTCCCCTGACCTCTCTCATACCCAGTAAAGCAAACTGGTCTCAGGGCCAAGATTCCTCTAGGAGGCAGATCTTCAGGTGTGACTTGCCTCCTCCCTCCTCCCCCACCCTCTCCCAGTCAGTCTGCTCCTCTCAGACCCAGCTTGCCCTGGTCTGGACTGCCAGCTCTTCTTACCAGGATATTACGGTGGGTGACACACCCCTGCTCTCACTGACTCCAGCCTCCACCTTTGTCCCCAGCCCAGCTCTCACTGTAGCACTAGGCCCCTGTTCTCTTCAGCCCCTCCCTGGCCACACTGAGGCTCAGTCCTGCTTACACCCTTGGATCACTCCAGTGCCCACCTGCTCAGATTTTGGGTCTGACAGCCAGTTAGACCCACTCCCCACCAAGAAGCCTTGGTGATCCAACCACCTTCAGTTCCGGTGCCCCTGCCCTCATGGCTCTGTGTGGTGTAAGTTCTCCTGGGGCAACTCCTGTGCTCAGCTCGCTCCCCTTTTCCCACACAGCCTCCCTGGCTTCTCAGAGAAGGTGCCTGGAGAGTGGAAGGTAAGATTCCTCTTGGAAAGGTAAGAACTGGCTTGTGGAAATTCTAGTTTTGAGGGTTTGGGGGTTGTTTTGCAGGCGGTGGAGAGGAGCAAGGACCTGGGCAGTTACCCCCCCCCCAAAAAAAGAATCAATCAAGCATAGGAAACTCACCTTTGGAGTCTGGGTCAGAGGGCTATGACTGGGAAGGGCAGAGGGGAAGGAATAACCTGACTGGAATCTGCTCTTTCTCTCCTTCTGTGAAGAGGAAAGGCTGTCTCATACCCACACAAAGCCCACCTCTGATCCTTCACAGAGACAGACAGACAAACTTAGACCCCCATTCATCCAACACATACTAACTGAGCACCTACTTTATGTGAGGCACGTTGGAGACAGGAGTAAATAAAACAAAGCCCCCATTACAATGGCATAATTCCAGTGGGGAAAACATATAGTGTGTCACATGGCAATAAGTAAAATAGAAAATAAATCTGGGTCAGGGAAATAGAAAGGGGATATATTAGTCACCTATTACTGCAACAAATTACTCTCAAATTTAGCAGCTTAAAATAGCAAGCATTTATTTTTTCACAATTCTGTGCATCAGGAATTCGAGAGTGGCTTAGCTGAGTGGTTCTGGCTGCCTCTCATGAGGCTGTAGTAAAACTTTTGGCCAGGGCTGCAGTCATCTGAATGTCTGACGGATTGGAGGATCTGCTTCACTCAGGTCGCCGTTGGCAGGAGGCTGTCCTCCCTAGGTGGGCCTCCATAGGAGAGGACCTCATGCTTGAGTGTCCTCCCAACATCGCAGTTGGTTCCCCCCAGAAAGATGGATTCAAGAGAGACTAAGAGGGAGCAAAGTTTTTTATGGCCTAGTTTTAGAAGTCGCATCCAGTCACTTCGGCCATATATTATTTGTTAAAAGTACATAACTAAGTCCAGCCTGCATTCAAGGGGAAGGGAATTAGGCTTCATCTCTTAAAAAGTATCAAAAATTGTATGGAAGTATTTGAAAACTACCCCAGAAGGGCTGCTACTACCCAAATGTTAAGGGAAGGACTCACTGAGCAGGACTTGAAGGAGGGAGGAGCCATAGGGATACCTGGGGAAGAGCACTGCAGTCAGAAGAGCAGGTGCAAATATCCTGAGGTGGAAGTTTGCTTGATGTATCAGAAGAAAAGCATGGAGGCCACTGGGCTAGAACACAGTGGCCAAGGCGAATGGTTGCATGTTTGGTCAGAGGTTACATGGACCTTGGAGTAGGTTCATGGAGGCAGTGAAAGGACTGAATGTGGTGGGAAGCCATTGGAAATGTCTGAGCAGGGAGTGAAAGTCTGACTCTTGCTGTTGTGTGGCAAACCTTCTGCACGGGATGCAAGCATGAGGCTCAATTAGGAGGCCATTGCAATAACCCAGGGAAAAGACAATGATGGCTCAGACCAGGGTGGTAGCAGCGGAGGTGACAAGAAATGGTTAGATCCTGAATATAATTGAAGATAAATCTGACAGGATCTGTTGAAGTCTTGAATGCAGAATGTCAGAGAATGAGAGGTATCCAAGATGACTCCAGGGTTTTTGGCCCAGGCAGCTGGGTAAATGGAGGTACCCTTAACTGAGGCAGTGAAGACTGCAGGAGGTGCAAGACTGGGAGAGAAATCAGCTTGCACAGAACATTTAAAGTTTGAGATGGCAATTAGATGACAGGGTGGAGGTGTCAAGTGGAGATGAAAGCAGTCAGATACCTATCTCTGGAGCTCAGAGGAGGTTCAGGCTGACACAAAAATTAGGAGTCAAGACATAGATGGTCCTTCAGATCTAACCATGCTTTTGCAAATGGCAGGATTTCCTTCTTTTATAGCTGAATAATATTCCATTGTAGATATATACATTTTCTTTATCCATTCATTCTTGTTTTGGAGGTAATTAGGTTTATTTATTTACTTACTTTCAGTGGAGGTACTGGGGATTGAACTCAGGACCTCGTGCATGCTAAGCATGTGCTCTATCACTTGAGCTATACCCTCCCTCCTATCCGTTAATTTTTGAGGGCATTATGCTAAGTGAAATTATCAGATAAAGACAAATGCAATATGTTATCACTTATATGTGGAATCTAAAAAAATATCAAACTCATAGGAACAGAGAACAGATTGGTGGTTGCCAGAGGCCAGGGAAAATGGGTGAAGGTGGTCAAAAGGTACAAACTTCCAATTATAAGATAAATAAGTTCTGAGGATGCAATGTACAGCATAGTGACTACAGTCAGCAATACTATATTGTTTATTTGAAGTTGCTAAGAGAGATCTTGAAAGTCCCCGACACAAGAAAAAAAGAATTTGTAACTATGGGAGGTGATGTTAACTAAATTTATTGTGGTGATCATTTCACAATACAGACATGTATCAAATCATTATGTTGTATACCTTAAATTAATAAAAGCTTATGTCAGGTAGATCTCAATAAAACTGGTATATAGACATATAGATGGCATTTAAAGTCATGATATGGCTGGGCTCATCTCAGAATGGTGCAGACCTGGGAAGCTAGAGGTTGAGGAGAAGCAAAGGGGGCAATGAAGGAAGAGTAATGTCCTGGATGCTAAGAGTTTTAGGAGTGATTAACTGTGTCAAATCAAAGTGAGAAGAAATAACCACTGGACTTGACAACAGAGATGGGGCAAAGCCTAGGAGTCTAGTCATATGGGAAAGAAGGGGACGACAAAGGGAGCTGGGGCATCCCCAACAGATGTGGGCTGAGCCTAGAGGCAAGGCTCGGTTACAGAGTAGGAGAAATCTTGAGGCTTGACTTTGCAACCTGTGATCAATGGAGAGGCCCCAGCCAGGACCTGTCATGGCCAACATGGTGGTGCTGGTGGGGTGTCAGGATGGCCATCTTGTCCGGGCCTCACCTTCACCGAGCCACAGATTTAGACTTTTAATGTTGCTTCCAAATGGTTGTACAGGTAGTCTTTTGTATTTTTGTTCATTAGAATGTCAAAATTTTAGAATACACAGTTTTTATAACCATGTTCCTTCCATTTTTAATATGCCAGAAGTCCTAAGATGTGAGAGGCCTGGGTTTTACTCAGCCTTGGAGCAGGGCCAGGAGGAGGGTGAAGAAAGTGCAGGGTCCCTGGGAGGGTACACCTCAGGGACATCTCTGGCCTCACCCTAGTCCCACTGGCCCCAACCACTTCAGACACCACTAGATAGTGTGCCTGCTTCCTATTCCTACCCCTGGGAGCCTCCACAGAAGTGGCGGGGAGTGGGGGGGTCCTGGAGAAGGTAGACTGGAGAGGGGAACTCCTGCTCTGGGTGGAGGTGTGAATGATATCCTGGAAACTCAGAAAAAGCAGATGGAGAATGATTATGCCTTTCAGCTCAAAAGTGGCTGCACACTGCCACCTCGTGGTCATCCAGGGTAGGACTCCCAGGACTGCTTCCAGAACGGCACTGGCAGGGAGCAAGACTGAGACACACACACACCACCCCACTCAGCTCTGAATCTCTTACATTATGGCATTCAAACCTGGAGAGAATCTTACTAAACATGCTGATCTCAAGGCCTCATCCCAGAAGAACTGATCTGTGGGGACTGGGCATAATCTGCAGAGTCAACAAGCCTGCTGGGTGATTTCTGGGAACACTAACGTATATTGTAAAAAAAAAGAAATACTGTCATAAACTGAATCACATGGCAAGGGAGAGCCCTTCCTGAGGCCCCTAAGAATTAGAGGTTTTCCTGCTGCTCAGACACAAAAAGAAATGAAACTGTTCAACAGGTCTTTATTAACAGAGACAGACAGAGAATGCGGCAAGGGCAGTGTCTGGAAGCTGTGATGGGTGTGTGTGTTTGTGCACGCGCAGAAAAGGATTTCTCTAGGCCAGAGATGGCCCCCTGGACCTAGGCCCACCCCTCCAGGTCCTCTCCCCAGCAGTGGGCCCTGAGCTGAGGTCAGCCTCCCCATCATACCCTGGAGGGAGGTGTGACCTCAGCACTTTCCACATTCTTCTGGTTCTCCAGCTAACTGGGTTGCAGAGAGTGGGAGACAGGTCATGAGGGTACTTGCATAGCAGGGAACAGAATGGGGTAAGGCATATGGTGAGGACAGGGAGGTGAAGGGGAATGGTATCATAGCTGCAGGTAAAGGGAGCCTCCAAAGGCAGCTCCTCTTCTCCCTTATCCGCCCCCCCCCCCCCCGCCAGTTGCTGCTGGGTTGAAGGGTCAGACCCAGGCAGTTGGTAATCGCCACTCCCACCCCTAACTCCAGAGCCCTGACTAGGGGCAGAGCTCTGGAAAGGCCTGAGTTAGTGAGTCAAGCTTGTGGTATGTGAGGTCGAACATGACTGGCCTTCTTAGTATACGTGGGGCTCCCTCTTTGGATGGGTGTGAACACGTGATGCTGCTGTACACAACGGATTCAGTATCTGAATGTGTGTCCCATATGTTCCCATGAGTCTCTGTGTCTGGTTGTATAAGCATGTATGTTCCTGCTTGGACACCAGGAACTCAGTATCTGCATGTTGTGGGTACGTCCCTGTCTTTTCACCTGGGCTCCAGCAAGTGGATGTATGCGGGCCCGCCCGCTCCTGTCCATCCACAGGTTCTCCTTCAGGCCTGGCTGGTCAGGGGTCCTGGCCGAAGAGGTAGGTGGTGAGTTCAAGCCGGAGGCCTCGGGCATAGACTCGAAGAGTATAGAAGAGGGTGAGGAAGTCCTGGGTGCTGAAGATTGTGTCAGCCAACGCGAAGGCCAGTGTAGAAGGGATGACACCCCGGCCGTACTCCACCATCCATGTGTTTGGCCCCCATTCCACAGCCGTTGCCTCACCAGGCCCATGTATCACTGTCTCCCCTACGGGGACAGGGAGCACCCAGATGAGGAGACTGGCCCTGCCCTTCCATTGCTGCCACCTCCCTGGCCTGTGGGTTGTCTAGGAGTAGGGAGTGGCCTGGTTGCCCATCCAAGGGGTAAGAGGCTAAGATGGCCACTCTTATACTTCCCTCTGTGGCATCACCTGACTCATGTCCTCTCTTGAGAGAAGGCTCACCTGGCCCTGCACCATTGTATGGGGTTATGGAAGTCTGCATTCCCAAGCTTCAATCATGTCAAGTGGAAGTTTAGCTAAACTTGGGCTGGGCCTGTTAGATAGGGAATAGTGAATATAAGACTTGTCAGGCTTTCTGAGAAATACAGCTGTTCAGTTACAATGCTGCTATGCTTGTAACACTCGACCTCAAACTTACTTATAAGTCCAAATGTTTCATTATACAAAAAAGGGAAGGCAACTCTCTGCCTTGTCTTTAGGGGCCTAAATGCATTTCTGATTACCCAACTGTCTCAATACTGGATGAGTAAAATAGTGTCTTGGCAGATAAAAATCAGACATAGTTAACAGGAAGCTGTTATGTTTTGTTCCCTTTTGACAGGGGAAAGCAACAGGGGCCTTCAACCCTGCCTCAACCAACCACCTGTGGCTTATCAGGGGGGCAAAGGAACCAGGAGGAAGGCCCCTCAAAGCACCCCTTTTCCATGCCATGACTCTCTTCCCCAACCATAGGCACCCCAGAATGAAGAGACCCACCTCTCTGGCAGAGCCACCCTACCCACCTGGGTAGAAGACCTCACTCTTGGTAGTGCCCTCTCTCCACTGGTGGAAGGTGCCAGAGATGATGGTATCCGAGATCTCAGCCCAGTAGCGCCCTGAAAAAGAATCAAGTGGACACTGAATATCTGGGTATCCACACCATCCCACGACTTGGCCAAACATCAGAAAGAAGGGCACGGGCCCTTGTACAGCCCCAGCCTCCCAGTCCGGCCCGCCGCCAGGACTGACCTGAGTGGCCGCCAGAGCCCAGGGCGGTGCCAAAGAGCAGCACGTACTCGGACAGAGAGGCGTGCAGAAGGCACATGGCGCCCATCCAGCCTCCCGCGTTCACGAACACCCACTGCAGCTCCTCGTCGGGCAGCACGTGGCCTGGGTGCAGCCGCCGCAGCTCCACGATCAGCCGAGAGAAGGCCAGTTCGTGGTCCAGCCCTGGCGGGTGCAGAGGAACAAAGTTAGGGCCAGCACCGGTCCCAACCGGGGAACGGTGCCCCCGAAACCTCCAACTTGGCCCGGCCCTCCCCAGCCC